CACTTGCAGAACAGGACAGAGCTGGCACAGGGCAGAGATGATGCGCAGAGGGGGCATTTCCAGCCAGGGCTGCCCAGGGGCAGATCTGAATCCACCCAGAGGGGCACAGGCAGACTGGGGGCAGCGCTATGGGGCTTTGTGGCAATGGTCCATTTTGCATGGTGCAATTTCTGCATATTTGAGGGTATTTCCAGTATCAAACACAATGGCTTGGACTTAGAGGGAAAAAAAAAGAAAGAAAAAAAAGAAAATAAAAAGATACTAAAAAAAAAAGAAAACTACAAAAATCCCAAGAACCACAGAAATCCCAGACTAGCTCCTCTGTGTGTTCCCAGAACAAGGCTTAACACGCTGGGCCTTCCCACTGAGGATCAGAGTTCCGCATGATGTTAAGGGGATCCTGCCACAGGCAAGTGGACGAAGACCCAGGTGTCCTGCTGCGCTGCCTCTGCATGTCCGGCCTCAGCCCTTCCCTTGGGAGAGCCGGACGGACACACGCGTTCCCAGCTGGACACGCGTGTTCCCAGCCACACACGTCTTCCAAGCCGGACACATTTGGGATATGACTTGGCATGTGAACCGCAGCAGCAGGGACCCTGCAACTTGTCACTGTGCCCCAAGAGGAGCCTGTCCTAGCGACTCACCTGTCCTTGCTCCAAGTGCCTTAGGCTGAGAATATTGCTATTCATTTTTCCTAAAGTAATAGCAATAACAATAACACTAGCAATAACAATAGCAATAGTAATAGTAGCTCTTGCTGTTTGGAATACTGCATTTCAATCACTATTCTGAGTTTGCCTTCTCTTTTTGGCACTAATAAAGCAGGGGATTATGAGCAATATGTGGGACAAATTAGAGTAAGCTGAGTCTTGCCACTGCTGTTAGCAGGAAATATGTGGCAATTTCTCCTTTTAACTTTTTCTGTGGTTTCTGTGCACATTTTTAGGCCTGAGGGAAAAAAAATGGATCTGAGCTATATTTTGAATAAAAATGAAACTGAACTCAATCTTAGAAACAGTTTTCCCTCCTGTTTTTAGTGCTGGGGTAAAGCAAACACTTTTGAGTAAAAATAGATTTTGCTATAAAATAAATCTATAGTGCACTTCTGATTTGTTTCTGCTAGAGAAAGTCCCCAGATCCATGTTCAGAGTTGCCGTCATGCAGGGATAGGCCTGGCTGTGTCCTGCAAGGATAGCTCCTGGTCGTGTCCTACAGGAATTACCTCTGGCTGCGTGGATGGGACAGGACAGAGGGAATGAACGGTGAGCAGAGCCTGGGGAGGGCAGGGTCTGGATCAAGGGAGCCTGTTCCAGGCACTGCCTGCCCAGGCCTCACACAACTCCCAAACCCAGCGAGAGGAGACGTGCAGCCTTTGCAAACCACTCTCTTTTTGCAGAGTAACAAGTAAGGGGAAAAGCCAGTGCAAAAGTGGGGTCCAGCATGCTCCCCTCCCCACGGGTGTCCCCGTCACTGGCAGCAGGGCCTTCCCGAAGGAAGGATCCTGCCCAAAGCACAGCTGGGCTGCATGAGGCCTGGGCAGGCAGTGCCCACACTGCTCCAAAGACCCAGGCCAGCCCCAGCCCCAGGCAATAGGGTCCTGTGAGCTGGAGGGGTGGGGGGGTCCCAGGAGAGCAGCTCCAGCACTGACCATCCTGCCCGGCCATGTCCCGTCTGCCCTCGCTGGCCCAGCCGGCTTCTCTAACAGGAACACGACACTGTGGGAGGCCCTGCGGGCAGAAATGGGGCTGTGAAAGCACCCGGAGGAAGCGCAGGGTGACAGGGTGATGGGAAGGGGCTGCCGGCTGCTGAGGCAGGGACCTTGCAGGGCACAAGGACCAGGATTCTGCTCTTAGTGGGAACAAGGACCCTGCTCACGTCAGGGATGGGGACCCTGCTTGCACGGAGGACAGGGACCCTACTGGCACTGGGACCTGGTGCACCTTGCATCCAGCCCTGGCTCTGCTCTCACAGAGCTCTGGCAGATTCTCAGACCATGCTGAGAAACCAGCCAGGAAAAGCAGGGCTGGAGGCATTGGCCTTTCCCCTCCTGTGGCTAGTGGGGAGCCTGGCTGACATCCTGGCTTGAGAAACAGGTGGCAGCAGCAACTCAGCCTGAGGTTTACAGATGATGGAGGAGACGAGAGGCTACAAAAAACTCTCCCAGTGAACTGTTGACTCTGAAAGGGGCAGAAGGCCCATTTAAATGTCCTTTTTCTCTCGGTGGTCAAGTAGAAGTGCAGTGGCAGTGAGCACTAAGTGCCGACACCTGCCTGCTGTGTCACACCAGAGTCAGATGTGCAGAGGTGGAAGTGCCCATGAGGATGTGGGGACATGTGCCAGCAGAAGGACTCGGCGGGTGAAATAGCTTTTTCCTGCCCAAGCTTCATACTGAGTTTTGCTGCAATCATTTCCGGCAGCCACAGCACTGGCCCTGCAGCTGCTGGGGCCTGCGGTTGGGCCCCTGCACATCTCGTGTGGCATAACTGTGGTGTCAGAAATGATCCCAAGGAGCCAAGGAGTCATCCTCGCCTCACAGGCCAGGCACTGGGGATGAGGGAGAGGCTGGGGGACAGCAGGACAGGGTGCAGCCCGAGGGGTTTGCTCTTGCAACCCATCTGAGGCTAGGGGAATTTGGGTGACTGCATGAGACACCATCCCCGGGTCAATGAGTTGGCATCTCGGAGCCGACGACAGCCCTGGTGGCCAAGTTCCCATTCTTGGCCTTTCCGAGTGCTTTCCTGTGCCACATGCAAAGGGACAGAGGAGGAAGTAGCCGCGGGTCTCAGCAGCTCCCAAGGATGGCAGCGCAGGGACCTGATCTGTACGAGAGCCTGAAGATTAAATACCCCCACAGCTTCTCCCCAGGTGAGTCCCACTCAGAGGGGTGCTGGCAGCCAGACTCATCCTCGTGTCCTTCAGTGCCCCTCCTCCCTGGGCAGCCCCGGGAGACACGGGGACCCGGGGGTCCCTGCCCGTGGGAGCCTTCCCGGCTCGTCTGTGCTCGGGCTCCCCGACCCCGCTCAGCCCGTGGCGCTTCTCTCTCCTCCAGCGGCAGCTCCCGGCTCGACGGTGGCTCCGCGGCGCCGGTCGCTGCTCCCCGCGCTCGCCCTGGCCACCGTGCTGGCTCTGGCCGCGTCGCTCGCGGCCCTCGGCGTCCTCTGTAAGTGCAGGCGGCCCCGGCGGGCCG